ATTCACACGAAGACATAATGTATATGAATCCCGAAGGTTACTTGCTAGGCCCATACGGAGAATAAATCCCCACGAAGGCGTCGCTTTCGCCCCCACTTAAAAGGGTTCGGAGCTCGGATATAGAGCTAGAGATGACAATTTTGAAAAATCTAAAATCATTAAAAAAACGTTAGTACAACTATTTATTTGAAAAAATAATCAAAGATAAATAATAAGAATCGAATAAATAAATTAAAATTTAAACTTATAATTTTCGCTAAAAAAGACAACCGAAAATTAATTTCGGCCTGACTCACTTACCTGTCCCCAGCGGAGTCGCCAAGCTGTCGGAACCGTCTTTCGGGTGGGCCCAGAATTGGGCTACGACTTGGATTAAATGAATTGGAGTCGCCACCGATCACTTTAAAACGAATTCAGGTGGGTCGGACACCATCTTTCCTGATCTGCGTTGTACCAGAAACATGTCGGGTTCGGGAGTCGGTTACGGTCAAGGAAGGATTAGCACCCTTGAACTGCCCTTTTGGTACCAATTAATTTATCGATTGTCTTAATTGCAAAAATTAGAAATTAAAATTTGAAATATTCGATTCGAATTATTACCTTTGATCGATTGAAATTACCACTGAAAATGCCAAAAAAATGTTAGATGATAAAATAAAAATAAATACGAGGAAAATAATTCTAAGATAAAACAAGTAGCAGAGATAATTAAAAGTTAGTAAAAAAAGAAAATAAAAAAAAATAATAAAGAAAATAAAAAAAAAGTAAAAGGGTTAGTTAAAAAAATAAAATAAGAATAAACTAAAAATAAAATAAAATAAAATATTTAAACTTAAACCGTGAAAGATAAAAAATAAAACAAAAATAACTAAATTAAAATAAAAGTAAAATAGAGGTCCAAAATAAAAACAAATGCAATTAGTGACCAAATTGAAAGAAATAAAAACACAACTCCATAGATGCAAATGAGGAACTCTCTAATGACCCATGTCTTAGTTAACCCAAAAATCTATGAAAATAAAAAAAAACCTTTGATTTTCACGTGTGAATTCATTTCATTTCTCCTGCCCTTATTTCTCTCTCATCTTCTATCTGTCCTCGTATTTGCCGAGAGAAAAATGCAACTCCTCGGGCCACCGAAAATCGGTGGCCACGGGGAGCAAAATACCGTGGAAGACCTCCTTCAAACCTCTCATTCGAACATCGATCCCTCGAGTCTCTCTCTCTTAATCTTATCTTTAAAATAAATACCCAAAACTCTAAAAAAAATCAGATCCGAAAAACAATGATTCTTTATCTTTCGGTGGTGAGTTCGTCTAGTTCTAATGAAGTCTACGAGGTAAGAGCTTTTTTTCTATTTGGGTTTTTCTCTGTTTGAATTGGTTTTCCCGTATCTTTCTACCGTTTTTTTCCTTGTGTAAATCGTCTGTATTCGATCTCCCCTAAATAATAAGAGATTACAACTTATTTATAGATAAAAAAAGACCTATTTTAGTCTTATTTTGAGTGTTTGATTCCAAACAGAACACTATCGTTTGTGTTTGTTGGTGATGGGGTTACGTTCGTCGGACGGTTTGGGGCTAACCGAGAAATGCGATGTCTGACTTGGTGCGAGGGAACGACGCTGTGCAGAGAAGAGGGATTGGTTCTGGGCTCCACTGTTTTCGGGTCGCATGCTGGATCCCTGTTGGACTGTTACACATGCGGGCCTGACTTGTAATGTTGGTCTTGTAGCTTGTAACCAAACAAAGCAAGTGATAAATATAAATATAATATATAAATATTATAAGTGTAAAATATATGAGATATGTGTCACATAGGACGAAATGACGTGTCTACACAAATATTCAAAAAATAATATAAAAACACTAAAAATTAAATTAAATTATTAAAAATTACATATATATTAAAAATACTAAAAACACTCTTAAAAATTAAAAGAAACAAAATATATATAATAACTCTAAAATGATAATTTATAAATTATTGAAAAAATTAAAAATATTTTTAAAAATATATATTATACATAATATATACATGTAACATATGGTCATATCCTCAACACTTATATAAATTATTCTTACTGAATTAGTCGAGACTTAAAAATTTTGTATTTAAATATAATTAGGAAGATAATAAGTTTTTTTTGTATCAATACACACATTTAACCATAGTCCGAATATTTCTATGAACTATTCGTAAATCTTTGCACATCATCTAATAAGTTAGTATATAAAGGGGAGCTTAAAAATTTTCTGAAATATGATTAGATTTGTATATTGATACGAGTAACTTCTGATGTTTTCTAGTTATATTTAAATACAAAATTTATAGTTCTTGCCTAATATAGTTGAGTATTTTGTATAAAGGTTGATGATATGAACATATTTAGGTGTATATATTTTGTACAACATATGTTTTTAAAAATATTTTTAAATTTTTAATAATTTATATTTTATCTAGTACCAAAATGAATAATTTACATTTTATATTATTTTTAATATATGTTTAATTTATTAATAATTTAATTTTTAATTTTACTATTTTTTGTTTAATTTTTTGAGTATTTGAATTTTTTATATTTAAACTTTCAAGTTTGAAATATTTTAAAGAAATTAAATAAGCTCCTAATTTTTTAAAAAAATAATAATTTGACCCTCGAACAAGACTAAAAAATTAATTCAACTCATCTACCATATCATCCTCCACATCATCAGCCACCGTGGACTACCGTGAACCACCAGCACATCATTGTAATGGTCAACGACAAAAAATATTGTTCAAATGGTCATATTGGATTTGTTTTCCGAGTTAGAGGATCATATTGGGTGAAAAAATAATTTGAGAACCATAATGATCTTTTTCTTCAAAATTACAAGGGCCTCTAATGCCTTTTTGCCAAAATTTAAATACCAAAAAAATTATGTTTTGAATTTAAACCATAAGCATGTTTAATATTTTTCTTACAATTGAGATATATAATTGATGGAAAAAATATTGGAAATAAATAGATTTTTCATGAATGTAAATTTTAAAGATAATATGATTAACATAAATAAAAATAAAATAAGAAATGGTGAGTTTTAATGAATTGATTTTGTCAATAAATTATCAAACATACCTTAGACTTTAATTTTTTTTTTGATAAAAAATATAAATTAAAAGATATTAAACGTCCTCACGTAGATCTTATCAATGACGTGCCAATCGGATTAAATTGAATTAATAATTACATCAAATATTCAAATCCAAATTCGTCATTAATAAAAATAAAACAAATTTAGATAAAGATATTCGAATATACAATATGATACACAAATGATCGTTAAATTATATCAAAATAATATTTTTTTGACACTAAATTTTTGAAAGATACATAATGGTCATAAAATTTCTCAAACAATTACAAAATGATCATTAAAAATCACAAAACAACCAATAAACTCGTAAAACTGTTATAGAACGGTCCTTAAATTTGTCTTTGTTTTATAACGTGCAATGGCCATTTTGTTATAACCAATAAACCCGTTGAATTATTACAAAAAGGTCCTTAAATTTATCGAAATTTATCATTATTTTATAACGTGCAATGACAATTTTATCAATTTTATCAATTTTATCATTTATTTTTTAAAAAGTTTTATAGGACTAACCATTACCATCCCAAATGAGCTGTGAAGTATGCCACACAACAACACATCATGCCACAGTGGGACGAAAGCTATGGCATCAACATTTACAAGAGTCCTCCAAGAAACTCCTCTCCGATGCAATGTAAACAACTGAAGCTTCCTCCATTCGTGGATTCTTAAACACGATTAATATCCCAACAGTCTGCAAGTGAAATGAATAATGAAAATTATGTCTTCTCTTATAGCTTTTCTAGTTTAATTCGATAAATATATTGCACGAATCAAACGACCTTAGTGGTTAAAGGGATGATTATCATCCTTAGTAGTTAAAAGGATGATTATTATCTTTAGATATTCCAAGTTTAAACACCAATGGCTGCAGGATATTTGAGCGTTCATTGAATAATTTTTTTTTTTATTTTTGGAATAATAATGTGTTTTATTATCCATTCATAAAGTTGGTACGTTTATATTTATATCATATATATTAGAGTCCAATTCAATTTTACAATAGATATATATTTATTCATCCTCCTTTTCTCTTTCTTGTTTTCTTCTTTATAATTTTGTCAATTTTTATCGAGGTTAATTTTATTTAACCAATGGCGAGACTGATTTTGATGCTGTTTGTCACCTGTAGATTATATTTTTTTCTTTTAATATTTTTAATAAGAATAATTATATCTTTGTGACATGTTTCTCTGTCTTTATGACACGTTTATCTATATTTTTGTGATATGTTTTCTCTGTTTTTTAATAGCTTACGATTTTTTACTGTTATTTTCATTTATTTTTTTTCAGGGTTGGATTAGACATTATTCTGACTGTTCAAGATGGCGCTTATTTGTTATTATGATGATCTTCCGTGCTTTGGACTCTCTGATTGATTTGGGTATGCGTTTTACATTAGTGATTAGTTTTTTCACGTCACTTGACTCTGATTTATGATTTATTGATGGTCTTTAGTAGCTTCGTTCCCTTTTATGATTCGTTTTTCGATGCAATCAGATATATTTTTATCTTTATTTTGTTCAAACTTTTTAGTTAGGTTTTTTTTAAACCTTTCTTTATTTAATTCTTATGTGATCTAGGTAATTAATTTTTATATCGATAATTATAAAAAATATCATAATTATAATTTTATTTACGTTTACGTTATACTTATAAATATTCATTTTAATTATGAATATTTTTTACTTTCTAATAAAACTAAATGATTCTTTTTAAAATAAATAAATAAATAAAGCGTCCGCCCACCGTCTTCTTCCGTCTATTAGGCATATAAAAATATCAAATTCGAAGCTTAAAATCTTCATGTGGGAACCACTGAGTCGCTTCATTCTATTTTTCTCTTCTTCTTCACCAAAATTGCCCTCTTCGTTCCCTCCCATGACCCATCCTCCAAGCTCTTCATTTCTCGAGGGTAATTTCGTCCCAACGCATTCTCCCACCTTTGACCATCAAGATAAGAATTAAACAACCCAATCCTCGGCCTTGCTTGCTTTGCTTTCCTTCGGCGTGAAACCCAAGTTGCCTTTTTTTTTTATTGATTTGGATTCTGGTTTCTTTTTCATTTCTGGGTGTCTTAAGAGTTCCGTCAAAAAATTTTGTTTCTTTTTTTGGTTTTTGGTTGTGGGTATGCTGGTAGAGAGAAGGAGAGTGATGACATGGAGAAGGGTGGGGAAGTCTCTGCAGGCGCTGGTTGCCCATGTCTTGCTCTTCTCCTTCACCCTCTTGCTCGCCCTCAAGCTTCATCATGTCCTCTCTTACTCTTGGTGGTTCGTCTCTCTCTCATTTCGTTCATTTTGCTTATGGTTTCATTTGCAATTGATTCTCTTCTTTAGCAACCGTTTACTTTTATGCTTATTATTTGTTTTGTTTATTTCATCCACTATATTCACCATCCCACTTGAATTAAACAAAATTTGAAACTTTCTTGTACTGTTTCATTTGCAATAAATTTTATTTTTCTCGTGATTTGATTTTTTTTATGTAATTTCTTTTTTTTAGTATCATTTTACTTCATCAGTCAGTCAATTTGCTCTCAGCAAATTAATCATTGGCACATGCTTACGATGGGAAATACACTTGGTTGTAAAAAAGGAGATTTAATTGTTTTTGTTCTTAATCTGTAGAGTTCTAAATTTATGTGCCAAAGGGCATGCTCTATACGGTGAAACATAAACTGGTTTAGCTACTCTGTTGGGATGGCCGTAAATTCGAGCATATAACAAGTGTCATAAAACCTCATGATTAATTGTTTAACAATGCGTATATCTCTTTGTTTTCCTTTGTGACATGTCCAGTATTTGATCTGTTGACTTGGATACTTGTGGTCATGTATAAAGTTAATGCTTCAAATACATTTACCAGTGCGTGATGCATAGATGCCCTTATGAAACTGCAAGTTATACACTTACACCTTATAGGTGAATAGTTTGGAAGAGAACTTGTAAGCATTGGTTGCTAAGCTTGGAGACGAGAACATGTTAATTTTCTTATGGTAGTAAGAAAGCATACCGCTCTTTTTCTGTTTTTTTATCTGCTTGCTTTTTATTTCATTGTGCAGGGTTGTGTTTTCCCCTTTATGGCTTTTTCATGCAGCTGTGGCGCGTGGTAGGTTTTCTTTGCCTGCTCCATCGATGCCTCACGATCGCCATGTATGACTGATAATCTCTTAAGTTTGGATGTAACCATTAACTGTGAGAAAATTGTTTGTGTCAGTATTTCATAATAATCCAGATCAATAACCCGCGTTTCTCATGCACAGTGGGCTCCATTTCATGCTGTCACGTCAACGCCATTGCTTGTTGCCTTTGAGCTACTTTTGTGTATACATCTTGACAGCAGCTATGGTACGTAGGCAACATCCTCTGAACATGATAATCTGAGATATTCTTGTTTTTATTTATAAATCCTATCCTCTCATTTAATGTATTATTATTTTGCTCTAATACTCTATCTTACTTAAACTCTGATTTACTGAAGGGGAATTTGTATTATTGATTCACGAAAGCATGTTAATAATTACTCCGTATTCCCATTTGTTATCTGATTAATTTAAATTGTTTATAAAAATGGATGTGTTGCAGTTGTTAGTTTGAAGATTGTCTTTCTTCCCCTGCTTGCATTTGAAATAGCTATTCTGATTGATAACATCAGGTATTTCCTCCCCCCCCCCCCCGGTGCTCATTGTCATATTCTGTTTCTTGAGTAATTGATTTGTACTATAAAATCTTGTTTTAGCTAAATTGATTTGCTAACGTTGGCTCCAGCCAACAAGAATCCGAATGAAACCATACAAAATTTATTAACAGTAAGGGCATAAAATATCCACCATCCGCTATGTGGGTTTATATATATATATATATTATCGTGTGAATTTTAGTCTCATGCCAACTTCATATGTTGCTTACTCCAACAAATTCATAAACCTTTGTTTCCCTTTCTCACCTAGCCTCTCCTCTAATTATGTTGGGGGGGAAAATGTTGCATTACATTGTTTTAACTTTCAAATCTTTCTATGTGCACTTGGTGTATAGGCTGCCTAGGGGCATCAGAGTATTGCTACTAGTATTGTTATTAGAGCGCTTGCGCTCATTATTGATCTTTGGTGTCTGGCTGGATACTCATGTATCTGCTAGTTGTTCCACATAAAACAGTCTCTTTAGTTTTTATTACTTTCTATTGGTTCCTAACCAATGTCTTTAGGATTTGAGCCTTGGAGAAGAAAATCCACACTCTCCTTAAACCTAATTTTGAATATAGCAAGAACTAATGATACCATAGTATTTTCACAAAGTACCAAGTCAATTGTAGGTGGCTTTGGGATTGTAGTGTTAAATGTTACTGTTATGCAGTTTAATTTTATCAACTGTTTCTAGGCGCAATGACTTTTTTCTTTAATTTTTGACAGGATGTGCCGAGCTTTGATGCCTGGAGATGAGGAAAGCATGAGCGATGAAGTGATATGGGAAACCCTTCCTGTAAGTTTGTAATCAGTAGTGACTAAAGAATTTTTTTCAGGGATAGTACATAACTCATTAAAAAATTCGGGCATGCCTGATTTAATTAGCCTATGGTTTCACAGTCATAACTTTTAATTATAACTGAAAAGATATCCAGTTATAGAGTTTGGCTGCTTTTATTCTAGCATTGTGCTTCCATTCATGGTTCACTTTTCACAAGGGCAACTTAATTTTGAAGAAGAAAAAATCCCCTGTTTCGTTGAGTCATACGGTTATTATGGAGGAAAAGCTAAAAAAGTAAAAGAAGCAGAAATACCGATATTGATATTTGAATCTGCTTATAGTATAACAGCATTTCGTGGCTACATCATGCTTGTACTTCATGGATATTATATGATATGCTTATGGTGACACTGCATATGAATGCTAATGCATATTCTTCCATCGTAGAGATTAAGCTTAATTTTATCTGTTATTTTAGGCTCAATTCATTTTAAAAGAGAATTGTAAACTCACCCTAGTCTCTTTTCTATGGTGCTGCCATTCTCTTCTTCTGGTTCATGGTTCCAGAGAAAGCAAATCTGTTAACTAGTAACTATGGTTGTGGTGTCTGGGCGTATCATTACCATGTCCAAACATTTTTTTGGTGTCCTGGTGTGTTCCATATGTATTATGCCATGTCAACAGTTTGTTTCTATCACACACCGCTACGACATTGATATGAATCCATGCATCATATCTTATACTTTACCAGATCATATCCTCATATGTGACGATAGTAATGATACATATGGTCTTTGAGATGATCTTTTTGTCTACATCTAATGCTAAAGTATTGTGCCTTGATAATTAGTTAGAGAACTGATGTTAAGTTTCCGGTATTTGGTTTGTAGCATTTTTGGGTTGCAATATCTATGGTCTTCTTTATTGCTGCCACAACTTTCACTCTTTTGAAGTTATGTGGTAAGTCGTTTGTTTCTTAGTTTTAAGGGTAGGATTCCTTTTTATCTGGTTTCTTTTTTTCTTGCTTTGTTCTTTTTGGTACTATTTCATGGAACATTTACTTTTCTTTGTTACAGATTTGTATTTAAAAATGATTGATATGTCGGTGAACATTTCCTTTCTACTATGTATGCTTGTTTGAGACCGTTCAGGATATGCGCTGCTAATACATTTATACATCCTCAATGATGTGCAGGTGATGTTGCAGCTCTAGGCTGGTGGGATTTATTCATAAATTTTGGGTACAATACAATCATTTTTCATTGATTATTTTGTGTTTTCTCCCTTGTCATTCTACTACTGTAGTAACATTTCAAGTTGTGTTGCAGTATTGCAGAGTGTTTTGCCTTTCTTGTATGTACAAAGTGGTACAATCCAGCAATTCATCGAAATTCTCACCTTGGGGAATCCAGCTCGTCTTCAATGACTATAAGATATCTTGACTGGAACAGAGGTTTGGTAATATCTTCCGATGAAGACAGCCACCAGAACAGCAGAATATGCAACCTGCAGGATATTGGAGGACATGTTATGAAAATTCCATTTATTTGTTTCCAGATCATGCTTTTCATGCACTTAGAGGTATAGTCGTTGCGAATGGCCTCCGTTTGATATATTCTTGAATGTTCAAGTTGTATCTGTATTACATATTAAACTGTGATGCCAGGGTACACCACCTAGTGCAAGAAATATATCAACTCCAGTCCTTTTCTCGCCCCTTTTGCTGCTACAAGGAGTTGGTATTGCTCTTGCTGCATATAGATTAATTGAGAAAATTGTTACTTTACTACATAGTGGAGCTGGTTCTGGAAGATACATTGATATAGCATCAAAAGTTTGTGAATTTTTTGGGTTCTTGCACCATGGTTCAAGGTAGCGTTTGTTAAGTAAATCTCGATTAACTGTTGCTTAAATTCTTCTGCGTCTGTACCAAGTGAAGTCAAAAAATGAAAGCATTATGCACACTACATAGTTGATGTTTCTTTTCTTAACAGGTTACTGGGTTGGTGGTCAATTGACGAAGGAAGTAGAGAGGAACAGGCTAGGCTTTACTGTTCAGGGACATCTGGGTTGGTTTTCTATATCACACTCTCGTTCCTTTATGCATGCATTCATCTAGTACAACATATAAGCATCCATTCTGGCTGCTGTAAGGTTTATTAAACAGGCTTTTATGGGCTTGAACGCTTAGACTTACTGATATATGCAAAATATGTTTTGTTCTCTGTCACAATATGACAGCTGCAGCCTAAAATTGTGGTTAAGTTTTCATTAGCATCCAACGATATTCATTTATGGCCGCAAAAGCAATGCAAATGAATTCTTCGTCACCTATATTTAGTAGTAAGTAGCTAGTCAAATATCCATAGTAGTAAAGTGCATAGTAAACCCTTAAGTAGGATAATATGTTTTCTTACAATGGAGATACTATTGTAGTTTGCTTATAGTTTATAATTTAAGAAAAGAATTTATTAAAATGCATTAGTAAAAGAGAATTGAATCACGAGATGCATTCATGTTAATATACCAATTTAGCAACAAATTCGCCAATTATTCACTTATTACATGTTCTGGGGTCTTGAATAGTACATGAGTTAATGTCCTCTCGTTGCTGATCTTCTCTTTCATCCTAACATTCAGATATAACACTTTCTCACCTGATATCGTGAAGAAAAGACCGAAGTCGGATCTAGTTGAGGAGGTAGACACAGTTTTTGGTAGTCTGAAATCTCTGTATACTATCGAGCAATGTTAGACTAACATTTTCAAATCTTTTAAATACAGATTTGGAGATTACAAGCTGCACTCGGTGAGCAGACTGAAGTCACCAAGTACAGCCAGCAGGAGTTTGAAAGACTTCAATATGTATTGTTTCAGGACCAAGCTTTAGTTGTTACCAAGTTATTCTAATTGTTGGGGAAATATATTCTGTGCCGCTTTCTTATCGATTGATTGGATCTGTCACTCAGGAAAAGATTCTGTGTAGAGTTTGCTTTGAGGAACAGATCAATGTAGTCCTCCTGCCATGTAGACACCATGTCCTCTGCAGGTATTTGCATCTATCCTGGTAGTGGCATTTGAATGAAGTCATAACTTGGGGTAGCATATACCATATTTTTGGCATATATTTAAGAATGTTTTTTTTTTATCAGAACTTGCTGTGAGAAGTGCAAAAGGTGTCCAATCTGCCGTGTTTCTATTGAAGAGCGACTGTCGGTGTATGATGTCTAGTCTTCAAATCACGTGTAGGAAGCTTGTGTAAAATTTTCCGAATCGTTAAAGAATTGCTTGTGGTTTTTGATGAAGCAAGCGTTGAGAAGCTGGCCATTCTGGTTTCTCCAAAAGTGATATAATTGTGTTATGCCATTCAAGAATTGTAAATGACTTGGTGCGCTATTGAATGGATACAATTAGTGAGTTTGATATGTTTTGTGTGCCCCTCGTTTCTTCCAACTCTATTTGGACTTGTTTTTCTATCTAGACATGTACAGATCCAAGTTTTATGGTTTGCAAAGGTAATATGTGATAAATTATGGCTTCTTTTTCTTTTATTTTTCGTTTTGAGTATGAAATAAAAGTAAAGTAGGTGAAGCTCTGCATCTCACACACAAACGTAGTAGTCTCGGAATTACAGGAATGCCATTCGCTTGGCTTGGGACGACACTCTCAATCTTGTTTGTTTTGTTTACAACATTAGGATTCGAACTCTAGTTATTGCTTGAAGGATTTAATATCTCATCTCGCTAAATTAATTGATTGTTGATTTTTTTTAATGCATTACAAAGGGTAAAGTTGCATGTTTAATAAAAGTTAAAAGATGATAACATTTGATTAAATTTTATGTCAATATAATTTTAACGTAAAATCTTTAAATTTTAATATTTATAGCAAAGGTCAAATGGACATGCATGGGTGGTTTTTCGTCCCAAAATCCGACCTATCATCTTGTTCCGGGTACCTAAAGTAGAATTATTATGATTAACTTTTGGGGGAAAAAAGGAGGTTTGGGATGGATTTTTGTTGTTGGTGAACATTCTTTTGGAGCTTGTGGTTAAAGAAGACACATAAATCAAAAAATTTAAATTTTATGTTTTTAATTTTCTATCAATTTTAAAATTAAAATTTTGATCTCAATATTTTATTTTAATTTCAACCTTGAACTTAATTACTAATAATAATTTTATGAGAATTAATAATAATAACAATAACAATAATAATAATATACACACACATTAGCACTTTTCTTGGATCTTAGTATTTGGTTTTTTCACGTTAGGTTTTGCATTTGCATGGTTGACCCCCCTCTTTCGATGACAACATCAGCTGAGGCCTCCAGTCTACTATCGGTTGTGCAACAGGTCCCTCTGGTGGTTGTTGTGGAACAGTCGGGGGTGGAAAGAGTTTTGTCTGTTGTAAGCGATAGTACACTAGCGATTGAAGCGAAAGTTTGTTTTGGTTATAACGACGAGGTCAATATGATGGAAGAGCATGGAAATTCTAAGGGTAAGGGTCTGAAACTATTACCTGAGGCTAATAAACAACCATTGTCGTATGTTGAAATTGTAACGCCCTGATTTTTGGGTTAGTAGTTTCGGATAAAACCCAAATGAGTTAGTTGGACTAAAGGAACCATTTAAGAGTTTTGGGTCAATGTATAATTGTATTGGGTTGGGCTTGAGCCTAATAAGACATAAAAAGGGTATTTTTAAAGTGTGCATCAAATGAGGAGGACTATGAGTACAATTTACCCCTGAAGTGTTTCAAAGGCTGATCCCCCTTAATGGTTGATGAAGTCACAGAAAAGAGTGAAACACAAAAAGGGAAGTTGCATTCCATTCTCTTTTTCTTCACTATTTGTCCTCTTCCCAATCCAATTTCTCTTTTCTCTTGTTATCTTCCTCGCTTCAAAGGTGAGAACTTTGTGGTGTGCAACCTAGGTCCAAAATTTAGAAGGTAAGTTTCAGAATTATCTCCTCTAGAGCTTCAAAATGAGCTCTCAACCTTAGAGTTTGGCTATGGTGGCCATAGAAGAGGTTTATTAGGGGTTTTAGGTTCTAGAGCACTTGGGTACTCCAAATCTGTCCAAAAGAGCTTAGAATCACGTTTTTAGTTCCTCAAGGCTTTCAAGTAAGTTAGTAATCATTTTCTTTGCTTTTGGTTTAGTGAGAAAAGTGGGTGAAAGTGTAAAAGTGAAGAACAAGGAGAAGGTGAACCTTGGTTGAGCTTGAGGTCATTTTGCAACTCTTAAGTGAAAGGTAACACGTTTCTAGCCTTTCCCTACTGCTTGTAAATCAAAATGTTAAGCTTTGATTCTTGTTGTGTGTATGAGCCTTTATGTGCAATTGGGTAAGGGTTTAAAGCATGAAATCAGGATTTGTTGTTACCATGCTCAAAGTGATGACCTTTTATGCTCCCTGCATGTTAAATAAGCCTTAAACACCTAATGGGGAATTTGAGGATACCTCAGGAGTGATTTGGGAGTGTTTTCACGAGAGAAAACAAAGGTTCTAGGTTGAGGGTATCAGTACTGTAAGAACAATACCAATATTGTTCTTCGTGAGAGGCTAAAATTTAAGTGAATGTAAGAGAGTAACGATACTCATCAGGGGAGTATCGATACTATTCATGTGGTATCGATACTCAGGAATGAGTACCGATACATGAGGTCACATTTTGGATTCCAGTGTGTTATTTTGGTACTTATACTCAGGGGGTATTGATACCTATGGGGTAGTATCGATACTTTCTATAGGGGTATTGTCACTGGGATATTTTATGAAATATTGAAAGCAAAATTGTATCGATACCCAAGGGAGTATCAATACCAAGTAGGTAAGTATCGATACCCACGTGAAATCTTGGACAATTTTGGTAGCTGATTTGAAGAGGGTGAAATGGTGTTCCTTCAAAGGGTACACACTTTCATAAAACTAAAATGAAACAATAACTAAATGTGTGATAACATAAGGTCTTAATGAGGTAAGATTCCATAAGACTTATATCTTTGTTTGATGTTAGATAAATGTCGAGGATACCCGAGTTACTTAATGACGCTAGCGTAATTATGTAAGGATAATCCAGATAATTCCAAATAAGTGCCTAGGCTCTCTAATGCTAGTTGGATATTGTGTCGATGTTATGTGACCTAGACACATCCCAAGTACTCTATAAGAGTAGACTAGCCGGGTAAAGTACTGATGCTTCGTAACCCAGACTTAACCCAAAGTTTAAGGAGGCATTGATACTATATGACCCAGGTCTTCCTTAAGTGTTGTAGTAAGTAAAGAGGGGTATGAGTTCCACGAGGCTAAGTGACCCCGAACTACTCCACGATACTTAAGTTTTTGCTTGAGTGCTACAATAATTTATGATCATATTGTATCATGCTTTTATGTTGGATGCATGTAGTATAACAGGGTTATTTATGTGACACTGATCTTGTGAACTCATCATAAAGAATATGTTTTTCTGCGTAGGTTCTTAAGTGTCGGTTCGAGGAGCACATCGCCGATTCAGAGCTTTCCAGACTTGATCGCTTTCAAAGTACGTCTCTAGTATTTTAGTGGGTGTTGAAAACATTTTTGATGTTTTCATATAACAAATCAATGGTTATTGAATTTTAAGATTTCACAATCATTTTTAAGTATATTCGATTCAATTATTCGAATATCAAAATATTACTCTAAGTTTTTCAAAGATCAATTTCAATCCTTACTCAAGTGTAAAATTGTTTTTTAAACTTAAAATATTTTTTTCAAAGTATTTCGAACCTTAATCGAGCCAAAAATCAAATTTACAAAGTGATGTACCGATACACTACATGATGCATCGATGCACTACATGATGCATCGATGCACTACATGATGCATTGATGCACACCCATTTCGAATGCATTTTGTGTAGCGATACACAAGCCATGCATCGATGCACTCTTCAATATTTTGAAACATCGAATGCATTTTGTGTACCGATGCACAGACCATGCATCGATGCGCTCCTGGGAAACATCGAATGTAATTAGTGTACCGATGCACTAAGTCTTATAACGGTTAAAATATTTGAATTTTATACATAGTGTACCGATGCACCTTGGCTATGCATTGATGCACACACGCTCCCAACTGTTTTATTTAATTGTTTTCACACAGTAACAGATCTATTAACTTCACCAATGATCCCAAACGTTCAGAAGTGATCCAAGGTGTATTTAAACAAGCTTAGGAGCCATTGATCAACAACAATTAAGAAGAGAAACTAGAGAATTAAAGAGAAAGCATCAAACCTCAAGTTTGAGCATTTCAAGCCAAATTTTTATTCAATATTAATTTTGCTTTCAAGAACACTTATTGTGTTCAATTGTATTCATTTTTTAGTGTTCTTTCTTTGTTCTAGAATTGTGCAAACATCTTACCTTATGAGGTTTTTCTGTAAGTTTGCAAATTTGTGTATTTCTCTTTGGGAGAGAGTGTTCTCAAGAATTTGGGGTATAATTTTGAGGGAAATGTAAGGTTACTCTTTGTCCTCAAAAGAAAGAACAAATTAGTGAATTTGTTGGAAAATCCTTAGTGTGGATAGCTAAGGTAGTGGACGTAGACTTTGGTTGAGAAAGTCAAACCACTCTTGAGTCGATTTGGGAAGAGTTATATCGATATTCAAGTAATCAATGGCCTCTACTTCAAACTCCTACTTCGGTCTTGATTCTATGCCCGTCAACAAGCCTCTTTTCTTCAATGGAGCTAATTATGCTTATTGCAAGAATAAAATGAGGTATTTCATTCAAGCAAGTGACATGGGAGCATGAAATATCATAGAATATGGATACTTCATTCCTTCCGCTCATTCAAGATTGTGGAGTGAAGCAGAGAAAAGAATGTTCCAGCTCAACTCAGAGGCTATCCATATTATATTTTGTGCTCTTGGACCAGATGAATATGGGAGAGTTTCATCTTATACAACCACCAAGGAAATATGGGATAAACTACAAGTCACTCATGAAGGCACATACGAGGTAAAAGAATCTAAAATTAGTCTTCTAACTCATAGCTATGAAAATTTCAGGATGAAACCGGAAGAATATTTCAAAGCTATGATGGATAGATTTTCTACGATTTTCTATGGTCTCAAATCATATGGAGAGATCATTCCAAACGTAAAGCTTGTAAGGAAGTTAGTTTACTCTCTTCCAAAATCCTGACAATCAAAGAAGACATCAATCATCCAGACTAAAAACTTAAAGTCTTTAACTCTCAAAGAGTTAATTGGTTCTCTCCTCACTCATGAAATGATGCTTCAAGATGACGTAGACCTCGAGAAGATTGACGAGACAAAGAAGGAGAAGGAGAAAATGAAGAACGTGGGAGTTGCTATCAAATCCACAAAAGATGAGAGTGATTCAGATGAAGATGACGATGATGAGGAAATGA